CCCCAACCCGCCGGCCGCACCCTCAGCCCCATTTCACAGACGGGGGACTGAGCTGTACACAGCTAGCTAGTGAGTGACGAAGTGGGACCTTGAGCTCAGGCACTGGCCACCTCTCAACCCGCACCCTTGCTTCCTCTCGCCCGCTGGCGAACGGGGACGGGCGCCGGGGACGGCGGGCTAATTCTGTAGCCGACTTTGCGGGCGTCCTGTTCTCCTGTTGGGGTGTGAACACCCCCGTTGGTGAGGACGGGTGACCTTAGGTCAGAGGGGCTGCCGCGCCCCTTCACAACCACCCAGTGCTTCCTGGATTCCTGGGATCCCCCCTCGCACCCCATCCCCACCTGAGGATGCGCACGATCGTGCCCCGGACCTGTAACAGACACTGACCGTAGTCTGTGCATCTTGTGTCTTCTAGCGAAATAAGTGTCACCATTGTCCACGGACAAACCAAAGTTATTAAGTCTGAATAAGGCCACATCAAGAAACGGCCTTTCTCACCCAGGCCTGTCAGCTCTACCTGGCTACCTGAAGCTTCTCAGCTTTTCTCAGCCTGGGCTTAGCGCTCAGCCCAGCCCGGCCCGCAGAGCCAGGACGGGGGACCAGCGCCACTGCTCCCTCACCTTTTTTTTTTTTTTTTTAACATCTTTATTGGGGTATAATTGCTTTACAATGGTGTGTTAGTTTCTGCTTTATAACAGAGTGAGTCAGTTATACATATATATATGTTCCCATATCTCTTCCCTCTTTGTCTCCCTCCCTCCCACCCTCCCTATCCCACCCCTCCAGACAGCCACAAAGAACCGAGCCGGTTTCCCTGTGCCATGCGGCTGCTTCCCACTGGCTATCTACCTTACGTTTGTTAGTATATATATGTCCATGTCTCTCTCTCGCCCTAACACACCTCACCCTTCCCCCTCCCCATATCCTCAAGTCTGTTCTCCAGTAGGTCTCTGTCTTTATTCCTGTTTTACCCCTAGGTTCTTCATGACATTTTTTTTTCCTTAAATTCCATATATATGTGTTAGCATACGGTATCTGTCCTTCTCTTTCTGACTTACTTCACTCCGTATGACAGACTCTAGATCTATCCACCTCATTACAAATAGCTCAATTTCGTTTCTTTTTATGGCTGAGTAATATTCCATTGTATATATGTGCCACATCTTCTTTATCCATTCATCCGACGACGGGCACTTAGGTTGTTTCCATCTCCGGGCTATTGTAAATAGAGCTGCAATGAACATTTTGGTACATGACTCTTTCTGAATTCTGGTTTCCTCAGGGTATATCCGCAAGTGGCTTTCGGATCACCTCGTTCCCACCAACCTACCGTTTGTTCTGTTCCTCAGGAGCTTATATTTAGCTGTTGCTTTTCTCACATTTTGGGAAGTGCTGACTTGGTGCTTTTCAGGGTGAAGACAGAGGCCTGAAGCATCTCGTATGTTTGGCTCAGCAGTTGGAAAGCTGTGGCATCTAAGGATGTTTCTGAGTTTGGAAAAGGAGGGGAACAAGACTCTGCAGGATAGCCCTGGATGGTCGGGGCAGGGCAAGAGCGGGGGCCTGTCTTCTCCTTTGAAGTAACGAGATCGTGAGCTCCCTGAAGGGCGGTGGCCGTGTCTTATTTCTGAATCCCCAGCACCGTGCAGGGCCTGGCCCAGAAAGTGCTTGAGAAGTAGGACTGGGCAAATGCAGACAGAAGCTGAGCTCACAGGCAGGTGCCAGGCCAGGAATGACTGGGCCCAGGAACCCAGTGTCTTGGGGGTTCAGGGATCCAAGGGCGGCTGCAGCCCAAGCAGGAGGGGACCCCATGGCACCACAGCCCTGGAGCAGACTTTTGGGGGAAATGGGGCATCAGTGGCATGTTTGTACCATGGCTTCCCAGGCTTGGCCTCCCTGGATGGGGAGGCTGCAGGTTGTGCCAGGTGAGCAGCTGTGCCCACGGAGGCCCCGTGTGCTCTGGGGCGGTGGGCAGGGAGCCCTCCTTCTGAGAAGCTGTCTGGGCTGTTTATTTCTGCAGCACCAGTTCTGCTCCAGGGGCTGAAATCCACTGGTGGGGCTCACAACAGTCACCAAGATAAGCAAACAGCAGAGGAAGCCTGGATCACAGCTGGCTCCCTTTTGGGGATGGCCCTGAAGGAGGTGTGTCGGCCCTCAAAGGGTGGTCTCATGGGGATGGGTAGAGGCAGGGAGCCGACAAAGGACCCTTGGGGTGGCTGTACACGTAGAGATTCACGCAGCCACTTGTTATGTGTAATTAGATTGAGCTAATTTCCTTCTGTGACACAGAGCCGGAGACCCAAGCTTCCCAAAAACCATTGCCTCATTTTGCGTAAATGTCATCATGGCACGGCTGCCCTGGGAAGAAAGAATATTTTTGAGATGTTCCTGGGCCCCTACATGGATTGTGTTCCTTTCCTTCGTCGTTAAAGTCAGTCTAACGCCAAGGTCTCCAGGAGCCCACGCAGAGGTGACGCTGCATTTACGTATCAGTCCACAGATGCACAGGAAGGTGATTTTTGTGGATAAATCTAACACCTGAGTGAGGGAGGCTGAGGGCTCAGATGAGGGAGCCCCCGGGGCCCCAGCATCTCTGCTCAGGAAACTGCCACAATCACTGATCTAGGTTTGTCCCAGAGGGGAAATGACAGAAACGGAGAAATAAACCCAGGGCAGCCGAGTTCCACTTTTCTTTTTTAAAAAATTAATCATTATTATATATTTTAGCATTTATTTTAATTTTTTAATTTTTGGCTGCGTTGGGTCTTCGCGGCGGTGCGCGGGCTTCTCATAGCGGTGGCTTCTCTTGTTGTGGAGCACGGGCTCTAGGCATGCGGGCTCAGTGGTTGTGGCTGGCAGGCTCTAGAGCGCAGGCTCAGTAGCTGTGGTGCACGGGCTTAGTTGCTCCACAGCATGTGGGATGCTCCCGGACCAGGCTCGAACCTGTGTCCCCTGCATTGGCAGGTGGGTTCTTAACCACTGAGCCACCAGGGAAGCCCCTGAGTTCCACTTTGAGTCGCTGTCCTTGAGTGACTCTGTGAAAGTAGGCAGCCCTCCGAGAAGGGGCCTGATAAATGTTGAGGAACAAAAGAGAATGACTGTGCACTTTATTTTTCTTTTACATCTTTATTGGAGTATAATTGCTTTACATTATTGTGTTAGTTTCTGCTGTGTAACAAAGTGAATCAGCTCTACATATACATATATCCCCATATCTCCTCCCTCTGCGTCTCCCTCCCTCCCTCCCTCCCTATCCCACCCCTCTAGGTGGTCACAAAGCAGCGAGCTGATCTCCCTGTGCCATGCGGCTGCTTCCCACTAGCTGTTTTACATTTGGTAGTGCATATATGTCCATGCCACTCTCTCACTTCGTTCCACCTCACCCTTCCCCCTCCCTGCATCTTCTCTTCTTTGCAAGATGAGAATATGGCACAAAGACCATATTCTGGACCCCCGGGCAGGCAGCGGCAGCCTCCCCACCGTCCTGGCTCCTGCAGGCCTGGCCTCACCCTCCACGCAGTCTCTCTTCTCCAGCTGTCTGGCTGCTGTCTTCACGGGGGACCAGCTGTTGTAGACGCTCGGGTGTCCCCCAGGGCAGTGTTTACCTGGGTCAGGCTCCCTAGAAGAACGGCCTGGCTGGAGGGACCGATGGCCATGCCGTCGCCGGAGTCCTGCCCTTCCCCCGACGGCTGGACACTGTGATGGCCCCTCGGAGCCTCTGTTCTGCTCATCTGCCCTCTGGCTCTCGCAGTGACCGTGGGATGCCTGCAGGTTGGGCTCTGAGCACAGCGACCTCCCACAGTCCTCTCCCACATGTAGGTTTCTGGAGGTGCTGCAGTTTGCTGTGCTAGAAAGATCGATGATGGAGTCAGATCTTAGGAGTGAACAGGCCAATAGGAAATGCCCCCAGCTTCCCGAGGCGGCGTCTCCGTGTCTCGCATACCGAGGACCACACACGTCATTCTGTGACGCGCTGGCGTTTCTCCACGTGACGACATTGGCCCCTGTGATGGCCACGTGCTTGTATCATCAGGAAGATGGCCTGTGGCCGTCCAGCTCCTTCCTCCACTGTGCTGCCCATGCCCCCCTGCCAGGCCATCATGCCTCTGTCCTCTCCTAGTCTGGATTTCACAGAAACATATGCATATGACTTAGGACTGGAAGGGACCTCGGGGAGTAGTTGGTATGCCTGTCATGCAACTAGTTTTACGTTGCCTTCATGTACATTTTCTCATTTCCTTATAAAGACTGTCGTCCACCCCGTGGACAGCACGGACACGGACACTAACACCAGGGTCTGGGGAGCACCAGCGACTTGAAGGTCATGCTGACTCCACTCTATGCCCTCCTTGGAGTTGCAAACCCCTGGCCCTTCTCATCCTCTCCCTCCTTGGATCAGCTCCAGCCTCCGGTGTTAAATGCCTCAGCACACCTCGGTCCAGCCTTGGCCGTCCTGGGATGGGGCTGCGGGAGCAGCAGTCTGGCTCGAAGCCTCCTGACTTGAACGGGAGTTTGCGTAGCAGCAGCTGGTTCTCCTGAGCCCCGTTCCAGCTGGGAAGTCTGGAGGCCTTTGCATAAATGCCCCACCGTGGGGTCCAGGGCAGGGGCAGCCCAAACGCAGACGGTCTGGAATCATCTTTGGCCACGGGTCATCCTTGGCGAGCCTGAAACCGGCTAAGCACACGTGAAGCCCTGGTTGTAACCCTAAGTATGGCTAATGATTTCATTTCGAAATCCTCAGTCACTCTTTGGCGCATGTGTCCGTTGGCCCAGATGCCCGGGACTCTGACCAACCTTCTCACACAGACAGACTCTCCCACGGACCTCGGCTCAGTGAGGTCTGTGTGCTCGGGACACCCTCCTTGGACAGTTTTCCAGTGTGAGGATGAAATGCCCAGGACCCGGCAAGGGGAAAGGCCGTGTCTTGGGACTCTCCACTGTGGGTGTTCACAAACTCAAGATTAAAGGAAGGTCCCTTGTTCCCCCAGGCCAGGTCATCACTGACCATCTGCTCCCCGTGGTCTGATAGGGATTTAGTTCAACCTCAGGAAGCCAACTCTGCTGTCCCCCGCCCCCTGGGAGGCCAGATAAAGGGTGGCAGGAAGGGCAGAGTCCAACCTGTTTTGAAGACCTGGTCAGCCAGGAGGTCACAGGTGAAGGACACTGGTTTGTGGTGCTGCTCCCTGACGCCAGTGGGAGTGGGCCGTCTGGTGGTGG